TTACCGCACACCAGATTATATGTCCAATCAAATATAATGGCCACCAGCAGAAATATAATTGTCTTCTGTTTATGACATGATGCAGTGACTAAAAGCTGAAGAATCTTTTAGCTGTTTGTTTAGCAGCTTGTCTAAGATCTCTCATTCGCCATAAATAAAGCAAAGGATTGATGAGGGAATTAATTGTTACAAAAAGTTCTCCTATTCGTGTGCAATGACTAAAGAAAGCTACGTCTTTGAATGTGCCCTCCAAAACTGAGAAACACAGGTATGGCAGGAAAAAGATAAAACCGGCCAAAAGAACAATAAACATAGTGCGAAAAGATTTTGTATATTTGTTACCATCAAAGTTTGTTGATGGGTTGGGAGCTGGCAGTTCGTTAGATACTCGTAAAGATACTTTCTTTAATAGGTAGAAAGCCTTGGAATAGAAGAGCGTTATGATACAGAGAAGTACGGCGAAATAAAGGATAAGAAAGATCGCAAATGCTTTTGATGTAGGTGCGTCATTGAAAAGTAAGACCACATCCAAAATGTAGAGACTGCCAATGACAAACCAGCCAGCAGATAGAGCGCATATAACTCGTTTGTTGGTAACGACTGTTCGATAGGTAAACGTAAGCTTGATAGCCAGAAATCTGTCAATACTGATAACCGACAAAGTGTACAAACCTATCACAACGAGGCAGTGTGCAAAGGTTCCCAGTATGATCCAGGAATGACAGACAGCATGATTCCATCCATTGATTACAGCTAAGTTGCTAAAAGCCAAGTATGGATCAGCAGCTATTCCAATGAACAAGTCCGCCAAGGCAAGATTAGCAAGAAGGATTTGTGATGGCCTGTGTAGCGATGGAGTCTTCCAGATAGAAACGAGAACCAGTAAATTGAGCAAAAATGTTGGTATTGCTATGACTGCGTATGCTGAAGCAAGAAAAATTCGAGTGGCGAACAGATTTTTCAGCTGTACACCAAAAGAGCATGAGATGTCCATAACTGTTACCAAGTGGCGATCAGCGTCAGATAGTAACGTATCGTTAGTTTTTCGTATAAATGGAAAATGATAAGTTAAATTCACCACCGTATATCAGTCACAAGCGATTTTTTGGCTTTACTTTGTCGTTTTTTACTTCTGCCTGCAAATATAATCACAACGATCTGCAGCGAAACAGCTGTCTTCAGATATTCGTCATAATATACTTCAGGCTGGAGATGATTTCTATTCAATGTTTGACTTCTTTTTCAACAATAACTTATTATTACAACATTTACATTTTAAGAAGAGTGACGAAGGTGGATATAATGGATACTTAACAACTTGAGTTTAATGCATCTCTGGTTAATTGTTTAAAAAAGACCAAATCTAAACATTGCGATATGATTTCATTTTTTAAATAAGTATATGTAATAGGACTCCATAATTGGACGAGGACTTCCAAAATTGGATGAGGCCGTAGGCCGAGTCCAATTTGGCAGTCAGAGGAATTTTTCGAGTCTAATTATTTCTYGATTGGGGAGCATGAAATCCCATTACCTATTAATTATATAGCTGCCTAATTAATCCCATATCAACAAGACCTGTCCAATTAAGAAAATAATTGGATAGTTACCTATATGGGATTAATGAGAAGCTCTATAATTATTAGTATTAATGAAGTGCGCCGTGTGTATGACAGCAGAGAGACCAGGACGTTCGATCAAATTGCACCTGTTATGTTGTCAAGTTATGCCTTCTCAAGCGACACAATTGCGGGGCGCTGCAGCGTTTAGTTTGTGAAAAAAACTATTTCATGCGTTATTTGAGATAAAAATGGTAGTTATTACATTGAAAGTTGTTCAAGAGGTTGTTTAGCTTTATTTCGGTATTTATATTTGAGATCTTTTATTTCTTTCGATCTTGCCAACTTTTAGGAACGCCGAGGCTTTAGAATCGTTCTTACATGATATTAAACATTTCGTTCCTACTTCAGTCTTAAAATTTCTCTGCGTCGATTAGCTAGAAGTCCCAATATTGAAATGCAAATAGTTCTGTCAATAGATAACACACAAGACGTAATGCTTCTGTAATTAATGGGTTCATCGTATTTTTAATGCTTTCGTTATAATAAATTTCAGATTTTTCACCTAATATTCTACGTTAATGAGGATAGACTCTTAAAAGTGTCTATTAATCACAGACCTAGCCGATTGCCTAAGATCTTCCATGCGCCATAAATATATCAGGGGATTGATAACAGAACGACCTATCATAAGTATTTGACCAAACTGAATCCAATTCTCCATTACTGATTCGTTCGGTATCATCGTTTTTAAAGTTAGAATACATGCATATGGCGAATAGCAAAGAAAAACAGCAGCAACAACAATAATGATAGTTTTAAAAGTTCTTCGATATTTGGTCACATCAAACTTTGGCGCTTCATTGGGAGCCGTCGGTTCGTTTGTGTTCCCCATAGATACTCGTGAAGATACTTTCTTTAGATGGTAGAAAGCCATCGAATAGAATGTCGTCAGAATGCAAAGCAGCAACGCTATAAACACGGCTGCAACTGTGATGTATGATCGTAGTGATACGGCACTTTTGTAAAACAGGAATATGAAGATGCCTTGTAAAGCTATATCTATGAACCAGCCGGCCATCAAGATTTTCATGGTGCGTCTGTTTGTTACAATCGTCCGATATGAGAATTTTTTTTTGATAGCAAGGAAACGATCTATTCCAACTACTGTTAAAGTATAAAGATTCATTCCACCGAAGCAAACAACAAACGGTGCAGTAATGAGCCAGACATCGCAAAAAATACTTTGCCACTGCTTAATTACTGCTACATTCGAAAATGCTAGAATTGGGCAAAAGATTGCTGCTGTCAAAAGGTCTGTGAAGGCGAGATTTGCTAGGAGAACTTGTGATGGTCTTTGAAGACAAGGTGTCTTCCAAAGTGTTACTAAAACCATGATATTCAGTAACGTCGCTGTTACAGCCATAACTGAGTAAGCAATTGTGAGAAACACCCGACTGTAAAACATTACATGGACTTCAAGGCCAAAAGAACAGAGCATTTTCATTCTTATGCGTTCAGTTTGAAATCTGCAAGTGCTTGTATTAGTGTTTTGCGCGTAGCGAGTTACCAAGTTACCTTAATAATCAAATGGTTTTTTTATTCTTAAAATGGAGGTAAGAATGACATGCAGTGGTATAGAATACTGATGAAAGAACTGACAATGGCAATGGTCAGATGTTTGTTTGACAATGCCTCGCATAAGAAATTCATATATTTTAGTCTTATTAATTTTTCAGTGTGAACAGTCTTTGTGCGAGTCACGTCTATACTAAGTTATTTTTTTAGATCAATAGCCATAACTCCGTCCGCGACAATGCC